TAACGTAGTTGGTATTTCGGAAAAGTGCCACGTTCATTCTGTGGGTAACGATCTTCGTCTGTTCCCAGAGCGGCATCGAGAACTCGCATCCATCGTCGTTAACACTGGAGGGCTTCGAGGCAGCCTCGGATATCAAGTGATCAAGCTCGGTGATCATCTGCTGATGTTCAGGCGACTCAAGCCAAACCTGGTGCCAGTCTTTGTCCTTGACGCTTTCGATGCCTCCGGTGACCACGTCGATCATGAATTCGGCTGGGTTGGCCTCAACGGGGCATTGTGCACCATATTTACCAAAATAATGTTTGATTGTCTGCCCATTATCGCCGATATCGCCAAAATACACAGTTTTGCCGCCGCGTGCGAGCAGCAAAAGAGTGTCGAACTGCGCAAATAACTGGGCAGAAGGTTGGTGAATAGTCACCAAAACTGCCTGTCCAACATCGGCTAACTTGCGAAGAAACCGCACTGTATTATAAGCAGACTGTCCATCCAACCCAGAGGTAGGCTCATCCAAGAAAATCAAGATGCTCGGCTTGGATACAAGCTCCACACCAATAGTCACTCGTTTTCTTTGTTCCACACTGAGGCCATTGCCAACTGTGCCGATAAGAGTGTCTGCCAGATCATGAAGCTCAAGCAGGTCAATGATGGTATCAACATACTTGAGTTTCTCTTCTCTAGGGGTTGTCCGGGGTTGGCGCAATAATGCAGAGAATTCTAGAGCTTCCCGAACCGTAGCGAACGGTTCGTGAACATCCAACTGCTCGCAGTATCCAGCCATTCTTTGAAAGGACACAGGTAACGGCCGGCCATCAACCATGATAGACCCAGTAATGGTGCCCTCTGTCTTTCGCTGTGCAAGAACATCAAGTAAGGTCGTCTTGCCCGCTCCTGAAGAGCCCATAAGAGCCCCAAGCATACCTGGCTTGACCCAGCCGTGGATATTATCCAACAAGACCCGGTCGCCGGAAGGTGTTTTGACAGTGTATTTGAGGTTCTTCCAGGTAAAGACGGCAGTATTGCGGGAAAGGTTGCCATCCACCTCCGCAGTCGTGTCGCTAGTGGCAGCTTTAGTTTGCTCCTTTTCCTTAATCTGAGACTCCTCGTCAATGCTTTTCTGGTGCTGCTTCAAGTTTTCACGGGGGATCAACAAAGAAGCACTTCCCCCGGCACCGGCTTTCCAATACGTGGTGCAAATAATCGTGAGCACGGCGAAGAAGCCCCACCACGCCCATACGACCCCGAAATTCCTCCAGAGCTGTGAATGCTTGTAATGGAGCGAGGAGAGATACTGGTCACCAGTCACGTAGTCTGCACCAGGCAAAGCACCGCCTACTCCAGTACAAGCTTTGTTGGCAGAGTCGACATCCTCATATCCGGGGCCGGTAGGGACAATATTCCTTCCGACACAAGGGATAACCTGACCGTGAAACTCATTCGACAGCGCTGCTTGGAAGGCATAAGCCATTGGGTTGGTGTAGTAGAGCTCGAGGAACCAATTTTTGACCTTTGGTTTAGGGATCATATAGCCAGCATACATGACGATTCCTTTGATAGCGGTTCCCGAAATCTTCGAAGCGGCTTCGAAGGTACTGAAGGCTGCACCAATGCATCGAAATAGTGCTGTAACACACTACATGATGTTAGTTGAGAGCTATTACTGGGCTTGGAATGACTCACTAAGGTCGTGGTGAACAGGATGATCCAAAAGGTGAAAAATGCCGCTGCTGTTGCTTTGAGCCCGACCATCCAATATAATACGACTGAGAAGATCGTGCATTGGAAGAGTAGCACCGGAAAGTCAGCTGTTATCTGCGCCAAGCAGAAGGCAGCCGGATGGTAGAAAGCAAATCCCTTATGCTTGATGAGCACAGGGCGCCCTTTAAAGGACTCGGTAACCTCGGACATAGCGACGATCGTGTTGTACAACAGGGAGAAAAAGACTGCTCCACCTTTTGTGAAGAGCCCGGCAGATGTCTGGGGAGCGTTATAAAAGCAGGATCCGGCAATCAAGGCCATAACCAGAGACAGAATCTGTTTGATCAAGAATGTGGATTTCTCCCCCCACAGAATCTGATACTGGCGCCGCGTACATGCGAGAACTTGGGTCCCAAATCCAGTGGTGAACGGACTCTTCTGTGGTTGGTGTGTGGTCTTTTCGAAGGCAACAGACTCCTTGAATGCCTCCGTCCGCTCCTTGGCAACTGCGCTTGTGGGATAGTCGTATTCTGCTGTCATGTGGCTGTAAATAGCTGACGCCTTATACTCTGCCATGATAGCATCGGCATTCCGCGGAAACCTGTTTTCATACCCAGGCCTTATCCTTCGCTCAGTAGGCACGGTCACACCTGTTAGAAAGTCACCTAGCAAAAGGTAGTAGTTAGTCGAGATATCGCAGTGGGAGATGATTTGAGACAACTAACCAACATTGGCACCATCGGTATAGACAAACCCCAGGTTCTCCATGAAAGGTTTTGCTGCAGCTGCAGGGCCATAGAAGATTTGCTTCCCCTCGTCCAGAACCAAGACCTTATCAAAGAGGTTGTAGATTCCATTCCCTGCTTGATACAGGGTCACAATTGTTGAGAGTCCGAGAACGTTAGTCATCGCTCGCAAAGCCTTAGCCCACTCCAATGCAGTACTGGCATCGAGACCGCGGGTACTGTTGTCCCAGCAAAAGACAGATCCCCTTGTTGCCAGGCATTCAATGATAGATACTCGCTTTCGTTCTCCTCCTGATACGCCCCGCACAAACTCGTTTCCCACCTTCGTGTCGGCGGTATGTGAGATCCCCATAGATTCCATGAGAAACTGCTTTGTCTCAGCAGTATATTCGCTCACAGATGCGGTACCATCAGGAAGATGAGATGGAACTTTGAGCCGAGTAGCAAAGTCCATTGTTTGACCAACGGTCAACCGGGGGTAGAATAGCTCTTCTTCCGTATTCATCACAATATGGCTTCGATATTGAGCTGCTTCTTCATGGGACATATTTCCAAAGCTCACATCGCCCTTGATGGTATGGTAGCCATGGCGGCGATTGGAGAGTAAATTGAGAAGAGTGGTACACCCTGAACCCGGGCGTCCCAAGACTAGGAGCATCTCCCCTGGCTTGACACAGCCGTGACTTTCCGTCAAGATAGATTTCAGGGGTGGTTTCCGGGTGAAGTCACGGATTCGTTGAGGTACGTTGAACTGGGAAAATAGGTTCTCATTGACTGCTGCCTCCGCTGCAAGGACATCCACGCCGAGGTTCTTCCAGGTCACACCTAGCTCTCGCTTCTTGAATCCTGCCGCAGCCTCACGTTCCTGGCTCCGGATGACCTGCGGGGTCATGCTCCATTCCGCGTCTTTCCCCGGAGGGGAGGTGGTGTTCGCATGGGGTACTGTCAGGGTTTCTGAACTTGGAGCTTCTCGAACATTTATATGGGGAACATTCAGTGTGTCGAGACTCTTTCGTTCTGGAATTGGTAAGTCGGAAGACTTTTCGTCTTCCGGGAACTCAGGAGGATTCATGACAGCTTGAATTGCTAGCCGGACGAAGTTGATGATAACCAAGAAATTGCTTAAATGTAGTTCACGAGAATGGAAGCATCTTATATACATTTACGGAGCCCCTAGGGGTCTCCAAAATGATAAAGGGCCTCCAGTAATACCTCAAATGAATTGGGTGAGCCGAGTACCCGTGAGTGGAGTACGTACAGATGAGAACCATTAAGTGCACCGTGCACCTGCTATCTACTCCATGAAGTTCCGCATCTGGTTCAATCGTCAGGACGGATGATCGGCTTCTATCGTCTTCCCAAAACGGCAATATAATGCAATGACCTCGGTTGTTTGCCCCATAGCTGTTTCACAGTAGATGAGATGTCCACGACAAATTCACGATAGCTCGGTGGGTCGGCTTTTTAGAATACCTCGGGAAGATCATTATTGTTCTCGCTTTTCTTTCCGATGCCGTAGAGATAACCATATTCCAAGTAGCAATGTTTGGCTGCAGCAAACTGCGGGTGGCGAGGATGAAGCGTCCTCCGTCAAACAGTTGCGCTGGGATATATCATTCGAATGACCGGATGTCACGCCCAATCAATAATTCAGCAGACGCGTGGCGCTTGAAACTCCTCAGGCATTGCGTTGAGAGGGCGGCATGCCGACTAGATCTGGCGGCATAGGTAACCGACAATCTCCCTTTTTGAGCGTTGCCGACCTATCCGGGTATCCAGACAATCCACATTGCTGAGGTTCCAGACCATCGCTAGTCTTGGCTAACCCACAAGAGCCCTGTTTAACGAAGCAATGTCACTATCTGTCTGCTTGAGTGATCCTATGCCACTTATATCCCGCAACGGTAACTGGTTGGTAAGGAGGTCAATCATTGCGTCCATCATCGAATTAGGCATGAATCCGGGCTTCAAGTGGCGCTGCTTACTTACTATCGGAAGAGGACGAATGGCTTGGCTTCAGGAGCGGAAAAGACCGGAATTGAAATCCGCGGAAAAATGCAGGACGGTAAAAGGGGTGGATAAATTGATTCGAACGAGGAAGATGTCGCTGGATAAGTGGGGGGTGAAGTGAGAAAAAGCAGAAGTTCAGCCTGCTCGACTTGGCGGGTTGGAGCCTCAGGTTCTCCATTCACATTCCTTCGCTCTTCTTTCCACCACAATAACTTACTGTACAATTCAAGGCTCATCGTCACCATTTCTCTCTGATGACCCGTCCAGTTTCACGTAAGTCACCTTGGTGCATACGTGAGTTAGATGACTGATGAACTCTTCGCTATTGACACAGGGAATATCTGGCAGATACAAGACATAATGTATGCAGCACAGCATATAAGTTCGAAACGAGCTCGTGAAGAGAGCTTTCCACGGAATACTTCAAAACACTCATCTATGGAGTCGACGTCAGAGTGCATGTGGAAGATTCAAGCGGTAATAGGTATTCTGGCGTCCACACACTATGGGCAGGAAAGGAAAGCATGATATGGTATTAGCAGGATAAGACACATTCGTGCGTGGCAGTCGATTCTGAGCTATTTCCCACGGATCTGATGGGCTAAACGAACCGAACCGGCATTCCGTGTCACTGACTCTTGAGGACGCGTCGAGCGTAGACCAGTATGGACACTCAGCGTTCCCCTCCTTATATAACATAGACATTGACAGGTGAAACGATGGAACAAGGACATATCGAAGAGACGAAGACAAGTCTTATCTTATTATCAGTTGTCACTTTTGTTTGATTTGACAAGTTTGCCATATCGCCATACATGCGTGATATTCTTCGGATCAGAGACCACTGTTATATGCTCTAGTGGGTTTGCTGTCAGTGCGATGATGTCTGCGTCAAATCCCTCCCTCAACTGGCCACTCTTTGGCGCCTGGTCACCGAGTGTTAACGGCCCATTGGCTGTGGCAGCTTCAACTGCAGCCAGCGGTGTCATGCCTGCCGCAACCGCGTACACCAGTTCTCCACCATTGCGTCCATATCCCAATGCAGGATTATCCGAGCTGATGAATTGATCTGTACCAAGAGCAATAGGCACGCCACGTTTGACTGCTAGCTGATACGCCCTCTTATGCGTATCAGCTACCTCGAGCAATTTTTGGTATGAGCCGGGCGTGAAGAGATCACGCATAGCAAGTCCGCTTTCGATAACACTGCGTGTTGCCACCAACATAGCACCCTTCTCTAGCATCAAGTCGATAGCCTCTTCATCCAGATAGCTGCCGTGCTCAATCGTGCGACAACCTGCACGGAGAGCATTCATGATGCCTGCCTTGCCGTGACAATGAGCGGCCACAACGCGTCTTGCCCGCGCCGCCTCGTCAACAATAGCTTTAAGCTCTTCGAACGAGAATTCTTGATGCTGCGGGTCGTCGATAGCGCTCACTACACCACCACTGGCACAGACTTTGATGACGCGTGCTCCGTGCCGCAGCTGCTTTCGTACGGCTTGCAGACACTCAGGCACACCATCTGCGATCGTCAAAGGCAAGCCATGTGTACATAGGTCACGCAGACCCTCGAGATTCACACCGTGTACATCGCCGTGGCCTGCCGTCATGCTGATGGCGCTGTGCGCACCGTAGATGGTCGGTCCCGGAATGCGGCCCTCGTCGATAACTTTGGCTAGCTCACAACCGTATCCTCCAACTTCGCGAACTGACGTGAATCCCGCCATAATGGTTGCATATAAGTCAGGCACACTTCGTGCCCCTGCCAATGCCTGTGGCGTATTCACAATAGAATCCATGCTCGCCGCCGTTGCGCCTAAGAAATGAATGTGGCAATCCCACATGCCTGGCATGGCAACTGGGACATTTGTGGTAACAGCATCCTGATACTCGACTGGTACTTCATGCTGCGGGCCAGAATAGAGGATTGTTTTGGATTTCCAGACCACAGCTCCGCGAGGAATTGGTGCTCCCCTTCCTGGAATTAGGATACCCGCATTGATGCGGTAGAGAGTGCTGTCTGTCAGAGGTCGATGCATAATTAAAGGGGTAAGTATGGGTTCAACGCAGTTCTGATCACAGTTTTGACACTGACAAGGATGTGATCCTAGTCCAGCTAGGAAAGCAGCATATATCAATTGAATGCAGGATGCCGAGGCTATGTGCTCATTTGACGTCGTGTGTCCACTTGAAGTTGGCTGATTTGTCGATAGCGACAACATAAGACGCGAAGCCAGGCACTCGTGAGATGGCCGACAATGTGGCGAGGCCCGTTTGGGGTTGCAATCTACCAGATCAGTAGGTCGAAGCGAGGATGTTCCGTGCCTATTCTGGCTTAGTTGAGCATACAAGCCATGACCGTAATAAACCGGCGTGAGCCTAAGCATGCCGCTAGTCGGAATGGAACACATCGGCGGGCCCAAGCCTCGGCAGCGGCGTCACGCCAATAGCCCTAACGGCGCAGCGCCAGATGGTACCGTCAATTAATCCCGGGTCGAGACCGTACTGCATATGATAATATATTGTCCTGAACGGAGGTTAAAGAGCTTCACTGTCCTTCCTTTGCTACTTGCGTCGTCCTAGCAAGGATTCTGTCTATTCAGCACCATTCAGCACCATTCAGCACAACCATCCGACATGTCCGCCTCGGACAGTACCAACTCCTCTCCTCCAACGGAGGACGAGAAGAGCTTTGCTAAGGGCCCCAATGAGACTATCCAACATCTTTCAGAAACGGAGGAGAAGGCCATCATTCGCCGCATTGATCTTTGCCTTCTTCCATTGATGTTTATTTCATACTTGCTGCAATATCTCGACAAGACCACCTTGTCGTATGCATCGATCCTGGGCCTTCTGAGTGGCACGGTATGCTCCGATCCCGTGTGCTCCTCAGCTTCAGCTTAACCTAACATTATATCAGCACATGACCACAGCTCTTTACTCATGGACCTCGAGTGCCTTTTATTTCGGTTACCTAGTCGCATCGTACCCTGTATCCCTGGGTTTTGTAAAATTTCCACTCGGCAAATACCTATCTACTATGATGTACGCTAGTACCCTTCCAACCCATATAACGATATACTAACGGGCCAGGATTCTATGGGCTATCGTCTTGACATGCCACGCAGCAGCTTCCAATTTTGCAGGGATGACCGTCCTACGTGTACTTTTGGGAGTCTTTGAAAGCGCCATAAGCCCCGGGTTCACCTTGGTCGTGAGTATGTGGTATACGCCATCAGAGCATGCTCTGCGCAGCTGCATCTGGTTCGCAGGCAACGGCGTTGCTGCAATCTTCGGAGGCGTTCTCGCCTACGCCATCGGTCACATTGAAGACAGATTGGGGCCGTGGCAATGGCTCTTCATCATTTTCGGACTGATCACCCTGGTATGGTCGATATTCCTGTTCTTCGTCCTGCCCGACTCCCCACGTAACGCCAAGTTCCTCCAACCGAATCAGCGCGAGCCCGCCTACCTTCGCGCGCAAGCATGTCAGAAGAGCTACCAGAGCCGCGAATGGAAGAAAGATCAGTTTATTGAAGCATGGCTTGACCCGAAAACATGGTTCTTGTTCGTCTACAATTTCATGGTCTCCCTACCAAATGGAGGCATAACAAACGTGAGTTCTCTCAAGCCATCTGAACCATATGAACGAAAGAAACATGCACTAAACAAGTAGGCAGTTCTCTAGCCTGGTCATAGAGTCTTTCGGCTTCGATACCTTCAACACTCTCCTGTACAGCATCCCCATGGCTGCTGTGGCTCTCGTCTTTCTGCTTGTTAGTGCATTCACGTGCAATCGCTTCCGTGGTCTCCGCTGCTACTGGATGATTATCACACTTCTGGTCAGCCTCATCGGTATTCTCCTCATGCGGCAGCTCCCTACCGAGAAGAAATGGGGTCGGTTGGTAGGGGTCTGGCTCGTCAGTGTCTTTGGTGCCGGATGGCCCCTTAGCCTTAGTCTGGTCTCAAGCAACTTTGCCGGATTCACCAAGAAAAGTACCGTGACAGCTATACTTTTCATTGGGTACTGCGTGGGAAATATTGCCGGCCCACAGTTATTCAAGACCAACGAAGCGCCAAAGTACTTGGTAAGAGCCCTCTCTTCTATTTCACTCAGTCGTCCTTTGTCTGCTGTTAGTGAGGACTGACGGTACGTGTAGACTGCGTTCGCCGCTATTCTGGCCTGCTTCTGCATTGCTGTTGCGGATGTCATTGCTCTGCGAGTATACATGGTGTGGGAGAATGAGCGAAGGAATCACAAGCAGGGCCGGACCATTGAGCCCGAGTCACCAGAGATGGAGGATGCTGTCCAGGCGTATTCGGGCCACAACGAGTCAGGCGATATTACAGATTGGCAGAACGAAAATTATCGGTACTGTTTGTAGAATAGGATAGAAGCAGGTGCAGGAGAATAAGTGTGCAGTAGGGTTGAAAAAGTGAAGAAAATTGATACTGCTTAACTATGGAAACGATGCCTGGGGTATACAGCTGGAAATCATGTGCACGCGAATCAGGTGACGAAGAATCCTCAGGCGAAGCTCGTCTGCCACCCCAGGAATTCCATCACCAACTCCCACTCAAACCGACCGGTTCGTGTTCTCTCCCCTGCCACATAAAGCTCACGTCGCTGCCACAGTAATTCAACAACTGTCTGTGCCCGTACCGTGTTCTCATACGGGGCTTTTGCCTGAGCTGCCTGGAATTGTGCCAAGGCCCGTGCTTTCTCAGATTCGGTCGTACTGCAGCACGAGGCAAGGAAGAGTGGCCATAAAGGCCAGGAGATTGGGAGGTGATCCAGCGATGAGACTATTGATTCTACCAGAGATAGGATATAGTCAACATGGCGCTGCTTCCGCGTTGCATCCAACCCCAGACTGTGTTCACTGGTGTAGCCGAGGAAAGCTGGCGTGGACGCTTCTGAGAGAAGCAGGCACGCAGCAAGACGATAGGATTCGCCAGTGTACTCAAGAAGACGACGCCTATGGACAACCTCGGCGGAATCCTGACATCGTCGCAGTGATTCAGGAAGCAAATGTGTTGTGTCCTGGAGATTCCTTTGTAAAGTGATAATTTTGGCCTCGATGGCGCTTCGTCTCTCTTCGACATCGAACCCTTCTCCATACATGACCTGCACATCATCCTTGAGGCTCAATATATCATTAATAAGCAGGAGCATGCGGTTACTCATGCCATTCCACACGTCAATTTCGCGAAGCGTATCCGACTTCATGGCCTTGGACAGTGACTCTGAAGATGTCCAGCAGGTCCCTTCTTCTACGGGTGACGAGGGATCGTTCCGCACTTCTACAGCAGGTAGTACCTTGTCAATTGGGAAAAGGGACTTTGCCAGCACCAGGTGCGCCGAGAAGTAACTCATGAATAGTTGCGGCACATATGTTTTTGTGTGGCGGCGAATCCTCTGCTTGATGACCATCTGGAAACATGTCAGGTGGCGAACCCAAGAGGCGTCACAGCTGTGGGATATCTGCGGCGAGTCAATACTGACACTCATGAAAATACCAAGAACGAGGAGATTACATACAGCCGACGAGCAGAGAAATATAGTCGGCAGCAGCACGTCTTCAAATTCAAAACAACTTTCCGCTAACGCTTGACGCAAGCCTTTGAGTACCCTTTGCCGGACCTGCATTTCAAATAGTTCAAAGCGACTATCGATTGATCTCAGGTACTGCGCGCTGGTCATGAGAACAGAATAATATGCCAATTCAGACCGAAATACCATGCGCATTACTGTATTGCGAAGAGGATTGGTTTCCTCGTTGTCGATAGTAACGGCAGCAGGGCACATCATCGACTCGTAAAAAGACAAGCACACATCATCAACATCGGGTACACCAAGCGTCCAAGGCAAGGTTCGGAAATTGGTATTTGATGACTGAACCTTGCTTTCTCTCCAGTGATGATACTGACTCTGATATGTGTCTCGGGTCAAAAAAGAAACGCTTTTTGACGTCGCGGCCCGCAGTGGGCTGTGCGAAGAGGGTGGAGTGAGGATCAATGCGGATTCCCCGTCGCTACCAAGTTGATCTTTGCGTTCGATCCGCTTCGAAGACGGAAGTTGATCGTCCTCTTCAGTTTCTTTGCATCGAAGCGAACCCCTTCTGGCTACGATCCCGGTTCGTCCATGGCATTTCCCCGCGGCCCGCATATCATCCTCCCATTGAAGGCGGACCCCGTAGTTGCATTGATTCTTCGACCGTTGGCAGCGCATACATACTGGATGAGCTTCTGTACGTACCGGAGAATGAGCTTCGTTGTCGATTAAATTTGCCGTGTAGAACACCGAATCGAGTCATTTGGAGCACGAGGCTCCTATCAACCTAGGAATGGGACAGGCAATGGACAACACGCACCGTCGCATTTGACCCGTCTCCGACGACATGTAAGACAACCGCTGCGGGACCGGATTCTGGGCTGGGATGTCATCGGAGGCGGCGAATCTGAGTCGGGGGAAGTTGGAGGGCCAGGGTTCAACGACCACGAGATGAACATGTCGACAGTCAATCATATCTTTACTATGACACTCAGCGCCAGATCCAGTTATTTCCCTTGTGGAAAGGATAAGATGGGGAACAGACCTTTGGGAGACTCCGAGCGGGCTAAACAGGCTTACGGAGGGGGAAGGCTATTGTGGACGGCCAGACACACGGCCATCCTACCTCGGGGTGGCCACGGGCGAGCTGAAAGCCTAACATGCGGTTAATATCGAGGGCTGGATGGGATTGGCGAATGGATGAAGCTCCATCCGCCATCGGAACGCTAATCGCGTCCGAGGCGGACACTAATGAGGTTTCCCCGTACCCTGAAGACGGTAGGAACGGTCCGTCAGCCAACAGTCGCTGGATTTCCCCCCCTCATCATTTAGTGGGATAGCAAGCTGAAACTAACGGTGTGATTGCATGTCCAATCGCCTCGAACCACTGTCATCGGGTCTTACCATCGGCGGTAATCCGATTACTGACGCCTTTCAGCCAAAATAGCGCGTTCCTAGGCTTTTCATCGGAGGATCGGACTCCACTTGGAGACCATCCTGGACCGAGCGCTAGATGATACAGTTATCCACCAAATCTAGGTTCACTTTGTGAGATGGTTCGATGCAGCCATTTGACTGAGCTGTCTCAAACTACTGGTATGGCAATATCCTCGAATCCCCACCATGTGTGCGAATACTCTCCTCCCGCCTCAGGAAAAGAAAATTGCGCGACTAATCCTGCTGCATTCGATCCAGGTCCAGACCATGAAGTTTTCCATTAGTTCATGGCAGGATTTCAATCCCAGCTGGTGCCGATTACCCCTGTAGCATAGAGGAAGTATTTAGCAGGCCTGCATCATGAGATCTAGAGCCCTATAAACCGATCGGGGCCTGCAGGAACCTCAGAGGGACCAAAGGCTCGAGGCACATGGTGTGTTTCAGAGCATGTAGGCTACCATTATGAGCTCGCAAGAGACTGCCTCGAGGGTACCCGTGGTGATAGCTGGATACACCGTTCCTATCGTCTGCATGGTGCTATGCACAGGTTTACGGCTTTTTGTGAAAGTTCGTGGTCCGTCAGAGGACCGCTTTCATGCAGATGACTACCTTCAATCCTTGTGCCCCCGTCCTGGGGTCCTCCAAGAAGGCCACGGGTAAGGCTGCCCGTGCCGCGCTGGACCCTTGTTTGCCGTCCATGCCGGACCTTGGAACGAGCTCTTTCGGGACGGTGGACGTTAGGGGCCATCCATTTACATTCGACCCCTTATGGTGCACTTTGAACCCCTGCAGAGCGACCAGTAATGCCAATTCAATTACAAAGGTTCATCATAGTGGGGATTCTCGCGAAGTTTCATGTGATCCAGCCAGAAATCTACAGCGAGCGGGCCGTAGTTTGAGCACAGTCAATCCCAAGGCTGCTATTAGAGAAATTATCGCAATCGACCTCTGCACACCCACCACGAGTATTCACATCCCAGTTATAAGCCTGCACCTATAATCTTGACCGCGGCCGCTTTGGCTATTATTCTTCATCACTGAAGCCCTGTATCGCGAGAACCGTCAGATTGTCGATGATCGGGTTCTAGTTCGTGAATTACGTTTCTTCAGGCTTGTGTAAAAGCGCTTGTTTATCTTTTTGGACATGCCCCACTGTTCAACTTATTTTGACGCTAAGGATATATTTTTGGATGTATGCTCGTCCAATCATCATACCTTACACCGCACTTTTCTACGTCACTCGGTATATATTAGTCGTAATTGCCTCGTCTTGCCTCGGCCTTGGTTGTATAACTCCCTTCTTAACATAGGTTCTCCTAAGGCATTGCTAATTTTTGGCGTCGTCATTTCGCTACCTTGTGGAATCCTGGGCTCGATCTTCGCATATCTACGTGGCTCCATAGCTTCACTGACATATAAGTGTATACTACGCGCTATCAGGACATCGACTACAGTTACTTCATATTTTACTTTGACTCGATTGTTCGGCCTATTTATGATCCAATTAGATGTAATCTGCTTCGGCGCCTATCTCCTGGAATCTTAAGCTGATAAATTGTTACCTGCCCTCGATGGATTTCAATATTCGCGGCGCCGTATCCTCATTGAGAAGGCCAAGGTAATACTCTATTCACGCACAGTTAGCCAACCCAGTCCTAGACGCTCTTGGGTCAACGTACCGCAACATAACCACCTTGCGTTCACCATTTGTAAGAATCCTCTCAGGATTCGTAACTTTCTCAAGGCCTCATTGGTGTCGGTTTCCATCCATATCCTCTCTGTCACTATGCGTGCCGCTTTGTACACAAGAAATGTGATAAAGGGAGGAAAGCGATCCAAGTCTAAGACTTGTGCACCACTAACAAAGGGGTGGACCATGTCAGTTATGGTGGCGAGAAGGGGATTTATAGATGATGTGGCAAGTGTTTGGCAAGTTAGAGTTTGTGCATCGGTAATCTGGACTTTGGTACCGTTCTCATAGGCTAGCAAAATACCACTGTGCAACATCAGTATCGATGCGAATATTTCAAGGAGATCTGTAAAAGAAGAACGCGGCTCAACTAACGTCTGACAAAGTCCTAGCCCACCGGAGTATATCTGGTCCGCATCTTCAACCTCTTCGATTAAGAGCGTGCGGAGGGTACATGATGTCTCAACCAAAAGACTTATTTCTTCTGTGTTGAATGTTCGTTCTGAAGTGGGGTTTTTTAACGCATTGTGAATGTTATCAAGAAGTGTGGACGCCTCGAACAGACGGGAGAGTTGCCAGAGAGGATGCCCCGTGTCTTTGTCGATGCCGGTGGGCCAGGGGACTTTTTTGGGGTCATAAATGCCCTTTAAGGTAGAGCAAGTAAGAAGTGGACGATGTCCAGATTGTACTGTTATATATCTATAGTGTTGTCAGGACCAAGGGGAGTTATAGGTTTAAGGGATGAATGGAGACCCGTACCTGTCCAAAATACGGATTGCGCACCCGACTAGTACGGCCTCCTCCCTCGCTGACTCTTCGTTAGTAGACGGTGAAGATGATGGAGGTGAGTAATCATGAAGTTTAAGTGCATCGGCAGCTCTGACAGTAGTCCCAATAGAGATGTACGCTGCCGGGTAGAAGCCATGTGCAACTTCAAGTAGGGTGACCAGTGTCCTTGCTTGGACGATCTTGAGCGAGGTAATACCGAGTCCTTCGATCACTGCGATCCAGCTCTTGATATGTAGGTACGTGGACTGTAGACCAGACAGAGTCCCGTCCCCTGAAGAGGGAGGCGGGGAGGTGCAAAGCAAACTAATACAAAGGGCGAGGAGCGTGTAATCCAGGGAAGCTTCGTTCCAGGATTTCGGGAGCTGATCCTGTAATGTTAGTGCGATAATAGGGAACCAAGGATGGATGGATTGGATGTATGTCGCAAAGATATCGCTCGGGGCTGATGTGAGTTTCGTAGCAATAGCGTCTTTGATATGGCCAGAATTCAACACTCCAAGGTGGAGCTCTGCATCGAGGGGGGACGATGGTGTCGAGCTTGGAGATGATACCACCTGTCCTTCATAGTGACAGGCTTGACGAAGTCTAGAGTCTGTGTTAGTGATTTCAGCATCAAAATACCATTTCAAGCAAGCACTCACCTCCGACATAGTCCGCATTGAGGAGTAGCCCTGTCGCATCGCCTCTTCTGCGATCTACATCGTGCGCAAGCCTTTCCGGCAAGGTGCACCCGACGGCGAGCATTCATGCTGACGAGTTTGTCCTGCTTTAAATTTAAGGGTTGGATTGCGGGATATTGGGTAACGTGAATCCGCATTTGTGGCGGGAATTTCCCGGTGTTGAATGTTTAGTCAGCCAGAATTGCGGTCGCCATTCCGGCGGAGTTTGTCGGGCTGGAGCGGGAACAGTGCGGACTTTCGTGGATTGAGGTGCGGATTCATAGCGGACCCTTCGCAAGGTGATTCGAATGCTTTGTAAGAACTATGGCTGAACATGAATATATAATGGTCTTATGCCCCGCGATAGAATTCTCTCTGTAACTCATTTTCTATTCCTTGAAGCGCACCCAAAATAACATTGGTTTTCAGCACGATGCCTAAAATTGAAACTGTTGCTATCGCTGGTGTAAGTGCTCCAAAGAACCTACAAGAGCCAGAGGCTGATACGTTTTGATAGGCATCTGGCACCCTGGGACCCCACGTGTTCCAGGCACTTGTCAATGCAGGCTTTCGGGTCTCGATTCTCTCTCGTTCTAATAAGCCGGGAGCATATGCTTCGAACATCAACGTCTTCGAGGTTGACTTCAATTCAGTGGAGTCGTTAACCACTGCACTTAAAGGTGTGGACGCTGTCGTATCCACTGTGGGTGGTGCAGCAGTCGACAATCAAACTGTGCTTATCGACGCCGCCATTGCCGCAGGAGTGAAGCGTTTCATTCCGTCCGAATTTGGCAATGTTACCACCAATCCAAAGGTCGAAAAATTTCCAGTTTATAGCTCCGTGTTTAAGATCCGGAATTATCTCCAGGAAAACGCAGCAGCCGGAAAGTTGTCATGGACAGTCCTTGCATGCGGCGCCTTCTTGGACCTCGTTTTGAACACCCCAACTTTGCTGGACTTTCAGAACCACACTGTGATTATGCTCGACGAAGGCGACAATCGGATCAGTTCTACCAGCTTGCCCGCGGTGGGAAGAGCTATAGCTGCAATCCTGCAAAACTTTGACGCCACGGAGAACAGAGTCATGCATGTATCAGAGGCAATTTTGACTCAGAACCAGCTGATTGGGTTCGCAAAGGAGATTCGGCCTGATATCGAGTGGAGCATTAGCAAAGAGCAATCAAGCCTGCTTTTGCAGGAGAGTCTGGAACAATTCGGTGCCGGTGACTTCAGTGTGCCGACCTTCATGAAACTTATGAAAGGTACTGCTCTCGCCGGTGATACTTATGGTGCCGCATTTGATGTTACGGATAACGAGTTGCTTGGTATCAAAGAATTGGCACCGGCAGACCTGAAGAAGCTTATCGCCGAGAAGCTCGCCTAAAGTGGAGTGTGCCTTACAAAGCTAAAGATTCGAAGGTCTAAGCTGAATAACACATTTCATTTGAAAGCACTGTCGTATCGAGCCATTTCAATTATATTCTTGTGATATATGCAATAATCGGAGATATGTATATAGAAATATTCAACGCACGATATGAAGTCCGGGGCTAGAGTAAGAAATTTTTAGACACAAAATAAACACAGAGAAGAGTTTCAGCCAATAAAAAGTGATATGAATCACTCTGCGCTTTGACATGCCATGCCTTCGTAGAAAATGATACTGTACACCTCAACCGTGCCCTGAGCAGGTGGTTCTGGCCATAGAACCCGGGATAACTGTGCTTGGAGCTTTATAGTAGCTGACATGAACTGCAGGGGCAAGGAGTCTGCCTGATTTACATCTGTAAGATAGGTTGGGTGAGTGGGCCCAGGACAGGAAATTACTTCAAGCTACTCCGGGTGCCAGATTATCCAGGAAATAATACCTGATTTTTGTAGAATATTCGCAAGTCCTATCTAGGTCATTGAGCCTTTTTCTGCTGCGTAATTGAATTGGGAGTCGAAACAGGCCTTCAGCACCATGACGGTGCGCTCAGCTACAGGAACGCGTGCTAAAATCAATTAACCACTTTCATCTGCTAGTCATAAAGAAATACCATATATCAAGAAGGGTTTCAGCCGTTGTAGTGGGGAGAACGCCGATAAGCCCCTACGCAAGTAATCGGACTGGGCCACAGACGCTATCGTCTCGTTCATGAAGTACTCGCGCGATCTCGCAAACGTTCTGAACATCCCTATTCTTTTCAAGAAGACCAGGACTCCAGAATGAAGTCCTCTCAAGGCCAACTATGATAGTTAGTATTAGGTAATGCCATCAGACGAAGGACTGTTACCAATCTTCACATCACCGTCAAGTGTGATGATCATTTCAGAGCACTTGAGATTGTCATGAATGATATTCAATTCTTTGTGGAAATAGAGAAGTTCCTGTAAAGTCTGCCTAGTGACAGGGCATAAAATCAGTCCCACATTCAGAATGTCAGTGTAAACCAGCTCTGTCTCCTTCCGGGTGTGTAGTAAATAGCCGAAAGAAACAGAGACTATGTACTGCAACTTACTTTCCAGACCAGGAAATTCCAACCCCAAGTTGGGACTCTCTTGATGCCTTGGAAACCATACAATCTCTTGAGTAATATCCGCTATTCTATAGGATATTCCCAGGCAAAGTCCAGGTTCTACCTGACTGAAATGAGAAGGATGTCGCGGAAATTTTTTTATTGGTATAATATATTTTGAAACAAGGGTTACCACACAGCTATGTTAGTATATAGTCTTATTACTGAAAAAAGATATAAAAAGCCCATCTTTACCTGTATACTCTGTATAACAGAACAGAATATCTATGCTCATTTTTTTGTAATGACCACAGTCAAATATCCCAAACGCTATTACAGTGAAGAGGGAGTTTCATCAGACGGTGGAGGGTCGTCGGTGATCATCGCCTTTTGTGCTGTCTGTCTAGAGAGTAGTTATTCATTTGTGTCCCTGTCGGGGAGAATTTTCTTATGTTGAATTAGACAAAAATAGATGAACGGTCACCCCTTACTTTGGAACTTTAGGGAACCATTGTAAGTCGAGAGTGAGAACGGAATAGTAACTCATAAACCCACCCCCCAACCATCTCACCCAAGGAGATGCGTAGTCGGAAACCCTCTGAAGTTGGCTCCATACCACCGAAGTGGATATATTATTCTCGCAAGATACTAACTAGTGTAGGTATCGAAATTAAGGATGAAGTACTGGATCAGATGGTGGGTACTTAGTACGCATTTCAATGCGAAGTACTAGTAGCAGGAGTATTAACTCGACATCGAGACGATTATTAGTATATAGATTGCCACTGAACACAGATGTGAAATCACATGCCTTCAAGAATTCTACCTTTTGGCTTCGGGCTTAAATAGTTTGTTACATCTTAGGTTGCTTTGTCTGCTTTTCTAGTTAGACTGAGGCGTAGCTGCTCCAATTTTAGGGTTCGTATAGATGGTATATAGTGAGCAACATTACTCGGGGTTTTCATCTCTTAGTAGTTAGTAGAGAACAGGTTGTTCCGAGATGCTATGTAGGTCGGTTTTTAAGAGGGATTTATGTGTCTTCGGATGATTCGGGGTACATCTTTGTATCAACAATAATCAGTGTATATGTTTTCAGACAATAAATCACACGAACGAATGATATCAAGTACAGGAAACCTGACACGTACCCAGGCCAACCAGTCCAGTCCAAACCAACTTATCTAGATTATATACATGCATGAGAGAAGGCATTCACAAAATGTAGTAGACCTATAGACACATTGCGCCTTTCCGAAATCGCCCAAATAAAAGAACATAGCGAGGACAAAGGGGGAAATCGCCCCGCCATATTTACCGAATCACTATAGACAGACAAATCACAACACTTGGTAGGTTGGTGGTTTACTTCAACCGCCAATGACCATCCAAGCGATCATACCTCCCCACATGCCCACAAAAGCAATGGTCAGGATGGAGGCACCCGCCTTGTCGCCCGTAGTGATCTTCGATTCGGTACTGTCGCTGTCACCGGTGTCGTCACCCGTACCCGCGTTCGGATCACTAGTACTGTTGCCGCCGGTACTGGAGGTCACAGGGGCTGTTTGCTTCGTGTTATACAATGCGGAGGCCAGAACGTTGGTGACGGCGATCTCTTCCTCCATTCCGTTCCACCCATCCCACTTCTTGGGATACCAGCGCACACCACAGGTGTTGTTGCCCATTCCGTTGCAGGAAGCTGCGGCAGCTTCGGCGGACCCCTGCAGTTTTGGCAGAATGAGGCTGGACGTCGACGGCATAATCAGAGCCACAAGCCCAAGCCATCCCGTGACGAGACCCTTGAACAGAATTTCGTTGTCATTGCACACTTCGGTCGGTTCGCAGAGAATTTCGGACATGATGTTACCACCATACTTCGCCGGGAAGAAGGTGTCGAGCGTCACGTTCAAGAGACCCTCCGCCGCATTCTTCCATTTGGCCTTGCCGGTCTGCGAATGGCATCAAATCAGCACCTACTTCCTCCACACCTGGTCCGAAATCACTTACGTAGTTGTACATGTACGCGGCTCCCGTCAAGAAGACGCCATAATTGTAAGACCACTGGTTGTTTCCTTGGGACGAGCAGTCATTGTCGACATCGGTGGAGTCGGCCACGTTCCAAGTCTGGTTGTTTAGCAACGGAGTCGAAGCACACCAATCGAAGATCTTCTCTGCCCAGTCGGCGTACGTGTCGTTGGAGGTGTAGCGGGCCAGGCGGGCAGCGAGTTGGAACAGACCTCCGTTAGAGATGGAGTTCTTCATGGCGTAACCGGCTTCATAAGGATAGATCTGCCAGCGCAGACCACCGCCACATGTCGAATCGTCCCATCGATCGACCTGGGTGTTGTAAACGCCCTGGGCCAAAGCGAGCCAGGAGTATCCGGAGGAGCTGTCGGCGAATTCGATCTCGGCAGCAGTGATGGCGGCAAGACCCCAGAACATTTGATCGTCGTTACCCTAATAGACAGCGGGAAGAGTCAGACTACTGTTCAAGTTCAGGGAAAGATCGGGTATTGCCATGACGCTTACCAGGTAACTACTGTAGTTGGCAGGCATGTAATCGCAGTCACCCGCCTGCCATTGCATACCCTGACGGACCTCGTCGTTGTAGGTACTGTCTCCGGTGTAATACCAATAGAGAAGCAAACTTGTGAAGAGCGCACTACCTTCCCACCACTTGCTAGGGAAAGCACCGGGAATCTGACCGGTTTCGTTTCCATGATACCAGGTCATGGACCCGTAGGCGGTCTTACTGGCGGCATCCTTGATGGAACCTATACGGACGATGATGATGATGGTGGTCAGTTGTCAATTCATATGATTGGTGTATGTTGTCGAAATGGGAAGACACGGAGGACTAAATTTAGTGACGCAACTGCTCCCAATAATGTGGGAGAGGGGAAGGAGAACGGGATAAGGGACGGGCGGGGACAGCAGAGGATATAATAAGAGAAAGATCTAGAAGTGGGGGAAGGCATACTGGTACTGCTGATATCGATATCAATGGCGTGGGAGAGCTGAGAGAAAAGCGCCGTGTTTAGGAATAACCCCCCATACAGGCAATCTCGAACGAGACGCATGGCGGGAGGGAGCGGGGAGGGAAAAAGAGAAAAAGGGGTGGGAGGAGGAGGAGGAGATGGGAAGGAAACGAATGTATAGAAGCGAGGGACACGGTCAAGGAAGACACTGACCAGCAGAAACGGAGAGTAAACGAGAGTGGAAGGGAAGAGGGGGGTGATAGGATGGAGACAGTTGACAGTCAAGTCAAAAATGGGGATGATGGCATTGCAGCAAGACAAGAAAAGCAAGAGGGAAATCAAGCTGCGTAGACGCCGGGCCAGGCCTATTTTTAATCGGCGGGAAAAAAGAAGGGCAGAAGGGCCCAAAAAAGCCAACCATCGGCACTGGTGGAGTTGGTCCCCGTCCACGTCAGCTCCTCGTGCAATCAGCGTCCTCGCCCTCGCATTTCTTCTTGACCCTAAGGGTCATGGTGTGACAGGGTCAGAAGGGGTTCAGAAAGGAGCTAAAAGAGGGTGATGAAATTCCCCCACCGCACCCCCCCCCAATAATGATCGGAGTTGAATTATTTGGTCCCTGGAGAGAAGTTGAGGCTGGATGGAAGTGCTTTGGAAATTCTGATAATAAGTATCAATGTGAGCCTGAGGCCACAATACGAATACGGCATATTCCGATCATCCATTTCTTCTTTTGGATGTTCTTTTCCCTTTTTTTGCCCCTGGAAAATCAAGCCAAACAATAACTAATCCCGAACAAAGGCTGAGTTGAGTGAGTTCTGGCCCGGCGGGTACCATGGATCCTCTTTGACTTCCCTTTCCCCATGAATGGCTGCCACAATCAGTCCGTCTCGCAACTTTGCGCCCGGTCGCAAAGATAGGCATGTCTTGCTATCCTAAGCTTTCTTGCCCAGCACTGCTAATCTTCACCAAGCAATGCCGGGCATTCCGCAGTTTGAACTGTCATTGCAGCCTGTGATCTTGGCAGAACCCAATCAGCCGATCGGGGGGGGGAACAGTCAGCGCCCCCCCCCCCTGGCGGGTACATCACAAGCACCACTCGGAATGCCATTGGGAGTTTGTCTCTGCTCGGACGCGCCATCATCAGCGCTCTTTGATCAGGATCGTCACCTGCTTTGGGGGTCGAAGCTTGCGATCGCTGCGAAGGGCTGTAAGTGTTTATACTATTCAGAGCGTTTTTCCCATCGCTCTCGATCATCGGTGCCTGGTTCTCCAACACCCAACACAAACTATGGGACCTCGTTCGTCGCTCAATCTTCTGAACCTGAGTTCTTCGCACATATCCCCATGTCTGCAGGATGGCAATGAGCTGTTCTAGACTTCTGCGCCGTAGTTAACTGCGGAAGTACCTGCGTGTGTCAGCCTTGACACTCCGATTCCGGTCCGTCATGTGACAGGATATCAATGTTTGTCTGGTTTGTTAATCTCTCTTTGTGACTATCAACAAGGGTAGTACTCCATTGTCATTGAAGATGCCATCTAGTCAAACAGCACACTGCAGTCATTTATATCATTTCCGATCGACGATAAGCAGTCACAAATATACAAGGTGAAAAGCCGACGGAAAAGAAACTGAGACATTGTCTTACTTCTCATCATCAACAAACCGCCCTCCCCGTCTCCGTCATCGTCTCCACCACATTGAACATCGCAGGATCATGTTCTCGTCAGCAGAATTGGAGATTGATGTTTACCAGCCATTGCTCACTCAGCTCAGTACTGTAAATTTGCAGTATTGACATCTAATTTGATCTTGTAGTGATAAGTGCACTAATTTTCTTGTCTATCAAGTAAAAAATCCGTAAGATCTCATTAACTATATATGGTGCACAGAAGACAAGACTAATTGCCAGTGCTTTAGGTCACACTTTTTGTTGCCTTTGTCACCTTCAAGTTGGTAAACTTGTAATACTTATATCGATAGTATGGAATGGGCAGTGCTGCCTCACGTAACTAAATTACTCTACGAAACTAAAATATATACTACTAACTATTACTAGCATCATCTCCCACCGCACAAAGTAGTACTAATAGTAGACGGTTTCACCAGGTCTAATAGTGAATCCTGAATATTATTACATGCTCAATGTTGTGGCATAGCGAAGAGCTTACTTGTAGACTATCGACTAGAATCGCCACTGGAACAGGTATCTCGTGTGGTCTTCTCTATTTGTCTCTGCCCCTGCCATATATTCTGCAATTATTCACAGCGTTGCTTCAACCTCATCCACAATGGTCACCTTAATGCTCCCGTTTCTGGTATCCGCACACATATTCAAGGCATCTACGGCCTTCTCTAGGGGAAAAACGTGCGACACCAATTTCTTCAGGTCCAGTATGCCCCCACTGAGACACGCTATAGCAGGCGGCCAGGTATCGCGGTATCGGTTGATGAACCGCAAATCGATCTGTCTTGTTTAGTGGTCTTATTTTCAAGCTTAACACGAGAAAGGCTTACCTCTGCCAGGGAAATATGCATAAATGGCAGGTTATTCATGACTGCCTTTCCCACGCCAATGACGACCACCGTACCACCCCGACGAGCGGTAAATGCTGCAGTACACACACTGTTCTCAACACCAGTACACTCTAATACAGTTTCTGGGGCGTTGTACTCGTCCGGACCAAAAATCGCTCGGATTGCCTTAGCGTTGCCTTCTGCATCTAGTGCTGGATTAACCTGGTATGTGTTGCACCAAGGCGCAAATTCCTTTGCAAAGGCGAGTCGCTTTGGCTCAATATCTGTGATGACAATGGGGTGGGCCCCAGATGCCCGAGCAGCTGCGAGGGCGATCAGTCCAATAGGCCCAGCACCACATACGACTACACCACGACCTAAATGAAGACGCGCGACCTCAATTCCGCGCATAACGACCGAAAGTGGCTCGAGGAGGGCCCCTTCAAGATAGGATATATTGTCTGGAAGCCTGTAAAGAAATTTTAGCATACTTAGCCCAAACCAATAGAAACCAAAACGCACTTATGTAACCATTTGGCCGGATGGACCTTGTAACGTTGGATGGTACCCGCATAAGGATATACTCCCGCAAATTGGACGTCTTCGCAAAGGTTATAGCGACCGTCATCACAGAGGAAGCACTGTTCGCAAGGAACCCCAGGTTCGACGGCGACTCTGTCACCTGTGCCTCCCGATAAGTTATCCATTGCAGACATGATGCATAGCGTGACTAACCAGGCTGGAGATGGGTCACTCCATCTCCACACTTTAGCACCACCCCCGCTGCTTCATGGCCAATTATGCAATCTCCTTCGAAGACTAGCTCTCCAATGCGACCGGTTTTCCAGAAATGAATATCGGACCTGAGCACGTTAGCGAAGAGTGTACACATGTAGATATAGTCAATATCCGTGCATACCCACAGACGCCAGTGGCTTTGATTTGCAGTAGGACCTCACCTCGCTGTGGCGCATACACCGGGGCGGGGACAAATTTGAGATTGTGATCTGCTGTGATCTGGAGAGAGGGATTAGGGAATGGAGGCGACAATGGCACCTGCTCCGTCGGCGATGACTTTGAGGTAGACGTTGGAGCTGGGCTCGATAGAAGGATAGAAGGGGCCATGATGTTGGATGGTGTGTGATCTGAACGTTGGAGTCAGAGAAGACGCCTGGGGTGCGCCTGGTTTAAGCTGAAAACATCTTGGGCGTCCCTAGGTTAGCTGGGAGTGATACAATTGCTGAATTCGAGCAATAGGATGCAGCGGAAGTAAGCTACCTTTGCCTGGGCATCATGGAGATGGGCAACTGGAGGCACGGATGACCCAGCGTGGATCTAGTCCAGGTCATATCTTCCCCGCATGGAATTTCTGGGGTCGGGTCCAGTACTTAACCTATTGGGTATTCCACATCCGCCTTCCCCGATCTGGTGGTTGGCGCCTCCAATTACCCGATTGGGAAATGGGCTTAATGCTGCCGGATGAGGTTATTCGGATCCAAGTCTTCATGCTCAGTCCACCTTCACTCTGCAGAACTGGGCTTGTTCTGTTCCCACCTTTTCTCTGCTCTGGGCACCGTGCCTGTTATAAATTTGACCCATGTCCCCTCTTGCCCGGCGCCATGTATCGCGCTGAGAATCATTCCTGCAACTATGGCTGTTGGTCCTATTCCGCAAAGTAACGGCGCATCAGCCTTGCCGCTGGTGCGCCAGCTGTCTAAAGATCACGACCATGTCTTGAAGTCATTCCGTCTTCTGATTTCCGACCTGTGTCAGCAGTTCGGCGGAGGCCACCCGGGGTATGAGTCCACCGATAATGAGCCCAGCAGAACAAAGGGTGTTGACTGACTTGACCAGTGGAGCTATTGGCATGGCGGCCATAGGAGTCGCCCTATGGCGATATGTTATGCGATATGCACCACACACCCCAGACTACTTCAACCGCGATCGCTTCATCCTTTCCAACGGCCATACCTGCCTTTTCCAGTATGCCTTTTTACATCTCACTGGCTACAAAGCCATGACTTTCGAGCAGCTCAAGTCCTATCACTCCGACCGCGTCGACGCATTATGTCCGGGTCACCCGGAAATCGAACACGAGGGCATCGAAGTCACCACAGGCCCCTTAGGTCAGGGCATCGCCAATGCTGTTGGTCTTGCCATGGCCACGAAGAATCTGGCGGCCAACTTCAACCGTCCAGGGTATGATGTCGTATCAAACCACACCTGGTGTATGATAGGAGATGCATGTCTGCAAGAAGGAGTCGGACTCGAGGCAATCTCCTTCGCGGGCCATCTCAAACTCAACAACCTGACAGTCATCTACGATAACAACCAGATAACCTGCGATGGTTCAGTCGATCTGACCAACACAGAGGATATCAACGCTAAGATGCGTGCCTGTGGTTGGGACGTCATTGATGTGGAAGACGGTTGCTATGATATCGAGGGGATTGTCCAAGCCTTGGAGGAGGCTCGCGCCTCCCCAGAAAAGCCTACTTTCATTAACGTCCGGACCGTCATTGGTCTAGGCAGTAAGGTGGAAGGCATGGCTGCTGCTCATGGTGCGGCATTTGGTGCTCCAGACGTAGCAGAGATGAAGAAGAAGTATGGCTTTAACCCTGACGAGCACTTCGTCATCAGTGATACAGTCCGAGAGTTCTTCCAGGAGGTCCCCGCTCAAGGCGAAGCTCTTGTTCAGCAGTGGAACTCGTTAGTGAAGCAATATAGCGCAGAACATCCTGAGCTTGGGGAGGAGTTCCAGAGACGCATTCACGGAGAGCTGCCTTCGAACTGGAAGGACCTTATACCTTCCAGCTTCCCTGACAAGCCAACAGCTACGAGGGCCTCATCCGGCCTAGTCTTCAACCCTCTGGCTAAAGATATTAAGTCTTTCATGGTCGGAACGGCTGACCTGAGCCCGTCCGTGAACATGATCTGGCCAGGCAAGGTTGATTTCCAGCACGTAAGTTCATTCTTGCTGTTTCTCTTAGACCATTTAGTGGCACCATACTCACTGGACACAGCCTGATCTACGTACTACTTGCAATATCAACGGTAACTATTCCGGCCGATATATCCACTTCGGAGTGCGTGAACATGCCATGTGTGCCATCTCGAACGGGCTGGCAGCGTTCGCTCCAAACACATTCATCCCTATCACTTCTTCCTTTTTCATGTTCTATCTTTATGCTGCTCCTGCCGTGCGCATGGGAGCTCTTCAGCACCTTCAGGTTATCCACGCTGCTACCCACGACTCCATTGGCATGGGAGAAGATGGTCCGACACACCAGCCGATAGAGCTGGCAGCGCTCTACCGTGCTATGCCAAACCTGCTGTATATTCGACCGGGAGATAGTGAGGAGACGGCAGGAGCCTGGCTTGCAGCCCTGGAGGCCAAGAAGTCATCCAGCATTATCTCCACCTCCCGTCACGCTCTGCCTCAGTTGAAGCAAACACGCCGGGAGGGAGTGGCTCATGGCGCCTACGTGCTGGAAGAGGCTGATGCTGCCGCAGTGACGCTCATTGGCGTCGGCGCAGAGCTCTCATTTGCGCTTGATGTAGCTCAGCAGCTGAAGGAGACTAAAGGGATTGCGGTACGCGTCGTCAGTTTTCCATGCCAGCGACTGTTCGAGCAGCAGGCCCTCGACTACAAGCGCACGGTCCTGCGACGCCATCAAGGCATCCCGGCGGTGGTAATCGAGCCATATGCGCCGAACGGCTGGGAGCGGTATGCCGATGCAGGCATCAACATCCGCCGATTCGGCCACAGTTTGCCGGGCAAGGCTGCATACAAGTTCTTCGGCTACGAGACTGGAGTGATGGCGGCCAAGGTGGGCGATTATCTGGACCGACTAGAGAAGGGTGAGTGGCAGCGTGGAGAATTTGTGGATCTGTAGGCTAGTGATACTTTCGATATCATTACCATTCAATGAATAAAATTAGACTTAAGACAATTTACCAATGAATAAGTCCAACTCAGTAGCAACTGGAAGATGACCGGAGAAGAGATGTGGGAATCGACTAGAGGGAAGATCCACCCAGACGCGCCGAACTCATATTGGGGAATCGGAAGCGCCATCCCTCGCTGCTTTAGTCTCCCCACTTCCCCTCCCTTCTTCCCAACTCAATTCCCCTCCACGTTGTTATCTAGAGACCCTTCGGATCTTATCTCTAGAGGATCCAGACTATTGCTAACCCTGGAATCTTCTCACAATGGCTTCCGCTGATGCCGCAATAAATGAATCACCACTCACCGCTCCCAAGACGCTAGATAGCTTTTTTTTCTTCGCGTATCACACGCACTCAAACTCAGTCCCTACGATGCTTACACACTACTCCATTAGTTGGGAACAAGGAAGTTCAAGCAAGTGTGTATTGCTAGGCCCGGACGGGATAGGTCTTTCCCCTCAACGAGACCTGACTTGCAAGCTAAATAGCTGAAAATACTAAAACATGAAAGAACAGGACAGGATAGGATAAGACAGAACAAGTCACAAGAAGCCAGAAGTCTGCTTCACTAATAACAAAAAAGATGAGACAATCAACACCAACAACCCGAAGATAACCAAGATGAAGATAAAGAAACGAGCAAATCTCAAGGGTATATCAACCTCTCAGGTCAAGCAACGCTATTATAACATGAAATCATCTAGGCGCTGCTCCGGGGCGATTACACAGACTCCCCTTACGGGAGATAGGCACGGAGCTGAGCGGGTGCCGCTGGCATGTGCGTTATAGAACCTCTCATTTGATTCATCAGCTGGCTCGTTGCTTTCGGGGATCGCTTCGGTATTGTCTTGCGGGAGCTCAACTGTACTCTCGCCGTTCATATTATTTGCGTGCTCGATGCTGCGCTCGCCATTCATTGCGGGGTCACCGCTGGCATCGCCGTTCATTATAAGTGCGGGCTCGCCGCTGGTCGCACCGTTCATCATATGGGTGAGATCAACGCTACCCTGGCCGTTCATCTCATGTACGGGCTCGTCGTGACCGCCGTTCATTTCATGGGTCGGCTCTACTATGCCCTCAATGGCTTCTTGTGTGGGCCTTTGGACTGGTTGAGGGGCTTCGGAGGAATATATGCCAATGGGTGCACTCCTTCTTCCTTTCGCCATCTCGAACCGGAGAGTGCGTTGCTGCAGGTTGAATACCGATTCTTGACCATTTTTCATTTGAAAGACTTGATTCGCAACCTCCGGTGTCTACGCTTCATTAGCTATTGCTATTGAGGTATGAAGCATGGCGCGTTACCTCGAATTGCACAAAGGCGGTTCTCAAACCAGAATTAGGGTTCGTCTTCACTTTGACATAACAACGTCCGTATTCACCAAGCATACTCTTGAGCTCGAACTCCATCTGAGGTGGATCAAGAGCACTTGGTAGACTGCAGGGTGTTAGTTCTTGTCCAATCCACTATTGAGTTTGGAAGGGGGTATAGCTCTTACTTTCCAACAAAAAGGCGAGCTTCAAGAGGAAGGAGATCTTGAGCGTTGTCGTCTGTGACTTTTATTCCTCCGACGATAAGAATATCATTTTCGATGTCAGAACCACTTGATCCCGCCTGGGCTTGAACTGAACCATCTGGGAACGGCTGCGGAGGGCTATTGGTCACGGTGGGAACCAACTGCCGGAGCATCTGGTACAAGGGGGTGTCTCGACGTACTGGGAATCCTGGATGGGTCATACGTGAAAATCGGCGGTTAGGAGGAATAGACGGGTGGTTATCGGCAGGCATAATATACTGTTGTTCCTGGACGCCATCAGACATCTCCGAGATGAAAGGATCCCCATCAGGTATGTCGTTTTCCGTAATGATCACGTTCCATTGAGGTTCCTTTGGGAACTCAGGCAAATGCCTGCTCATCTCAGGGTCACACCAAGGAGGCATATCCATAAACAGCCAAAGAGGCGTTTGCCATCCTTTAAGTTGCATACGAGCCCCGGTAAAGAAAACCCATTTCATGGTACTATGAAGGAAAGAAGGACCAAAAGGTTTCTTTTCAGGATATGGAATAACATTGGGGTACTGTTGGCAGAAATCCATGTTGACTGCTGGAGGGGAAGGATGCATTTCTCAAATCAAAAGCCGTGAGTAACTTATCTCCGTAGCGATCAAGCAAAGCCAAGCTAAGCAACAGACGCTAACAAGCACGAATCAGATATTATCCTCCTAAAGGAGAACTTTATCAAAAGCGTACTACAACGACGAGCAGTGTGAAAAGATGAGATTGATAAGAGAAGCTGTGGATACTCTGTGAAACGATAGCGAGTAGCCAAAGCGTGACTGTTGTGAGGATGGGAGAAGTATGAGAGGCAAAGAACAAGCGAGCCGGCAAGGCTCACATACTAACCGTCGAACTCTATGCCTTCACGATGAGGTATGAGAACCGAGCGCCGCAGCAATGACTACAACTATGACCACGACAAGGCTTCAACTACGGTCCGGACTCTGTTCCTCTTATTCCTCGAGGGATCTAGTTACTCCTCGCCGCTTTCTGGCCTGAAATGACATCTAAGGGATGAAGGGCATGGGATGTCAGAACAGGGCTGTGCATTCGCTCCAGAGCCATCTGCGGTCATCCGAAGACGCCGATATTTGTCAGGAGAACTACAAGTATAGGTGCGAATAGTTGGGTCCGTCCTTTTGTCCGGGGAAAATCGGGGGTTTGTTGGGGAAAGTCGGGCGTGGTTCCTTGGGTGCGAGGACGAACTATACAACTATACGGCTCTAGGTTTGGTATCCTGTCCGATACAATACATTCGGTGCGGAAACTTCAGCCTGTAGGTATCGAGTGAGCGTCATGACATGGTTTGTGGAGCTCTGACCTTGATATGGAGGTCTGTTGTTGAGCTTGGGCCTGAGGGAGGTCGAGATGGCCGAAAGTAGAAATTTCGACATATGAACTAAGGGGGCTGTGTGGGATAAGTATAGAATGGCTGCTTCGAGAAATTACTTATGGTATTGTAGTTATACCGGGTTGTATTAACTATACAAAACGAGGAAAGAAGCAGGTCATGATTATGTCGTCACCAAGGCAGGAAGTATGCAAACAGGCAAGGTATATACTCAGACAGTGAACGAGGGGGTATCGAATAAGCTTATCTCCCAGGAACATCATCATGAAACAAATCGTCACTTCACTTTGCAGGCATCCCCATCAGCTCTCCCAGCTCGTCGCTGGTGAGTGTACTCCGGCGTCGATCCCGGTGTCCTTTGCTGGATCCCTTGAGAGCACGCCCACGCTTACGACTCTCGCTCTCTTTGCGAGCCTGTTCTGCCTCCCGGGCCTCGCTTTCGGCAGCAGCTAGCTTCTGGGGCACGCTCAGGCGAGCTTGGTGGTTTGATGCTTGAATAGCAGCTGCCCGGCGAGACTCTTTGGGCTGGGGACTTTGAGCGCTGCTTCCCTGGCGGGAGAGCCCCTTCGATTCAGCCTTCCTTCTTGATGGTCTACGTGTTACCGCTTCCGAACGGTGTGCTTTTACTTGTAGCGTCTCGTCGTCCGCGCTCGGTTCGCAAGGTGAGTCTTGTAGACCCGCAGTAAATGAGACCTTCCGTGGCGAGCGTCCAGTCATGATGTTGTCACTCTTTTCTTTCAAGGCTTTACTGGCTCTCCTGGATCTCGTTTCTCGCGTCGACTGGCGAGTTCTCCTGGGGGACTCTGCAGGCCGACTAGGCTCGGTGGTAACCTTCGCAGCGGTTTGTTTCTCTCCCTCCTCTTCTGCCTCTTGGTCTTCGAAGATGGGTGACTGGATGGTCGTGTCTCGCCCCACGTCTTGAGATAGTGCTTGCGTAATGTCTAGGCGTAGGTCTAAGCCTTGTCGGAGCTCTTCCGCTTGAATCGAATGGCCTCCATCCGCGATCCGTTTATGCCAGCCATCCATCATTGTAACGGCCTGGCTCCACCGACTTTCCATTTTCTCCCAGCCATCGCGAAGTCGTTTAATTTCTTCGTCCCGCATTTCTACTTCCTCGAGAGGTACGAACGATGGGTTCGTGAGCAGTGTTCGTAGATGCTCGAGGACATGGTCCATTTGTGCTGATAGCTCGTCACAAGAGGTAGGTAGCGCCGTTACCGAGCCTTGCAGGGACCGTCCACCCCCGACGCTTGCCATCCCGGTCGCGGACTTATCTTCATCTTCGGCTTGTGATAGACCCTGGAGATCCTTCAGAGTTTCGACTGTGTTCCGTGCCAATGATATTAGCGTATCATTTTCGTCGCTGAGGTTTTGACATAGTTCAGTGAGGAAGTCGTTCGTTTCCTGCTTGAGGCTGTATCCAGGATCGTTGATGCCCTCACCACCGGCCGCCAGTCTAGATCGGGACGATTGACTGGCTGCTGGGTTGATATTGATAGTGGTCATCGACAACCCTTCCCGCTTTCCGCGCTGGCGTTCAGCCAAGTGCGATTTCAGTTTTTGCATTTCCAGGTCGCGTTTGCGGATGTCGTTGGCGCATTGAGCTCGAACTTGCTGAATGGTCGTCTTCATGCGCTGCACTTGCTCTTTCAGTCCTCGGATTGTCGAATCGGCACTAGAAGCGTTCGCCTTCAATGCTCGTTCCTGCGCTTCTGCGAGAGCCAGGGAACGGGTTAGCTCGGAGGCCTTCGTTTTGACTTTCTCCTACAGCCAAGTCGTTAGCCTTCTCTGCGGTCGCAAAGTATACATTTGATGCCTATCGTACCAACTCTGCTGTTTTTTGCGATTCCTCCGCGCGTAGGGTGCGGATTGTGGTCGCTAGATTCTCTCGGTGTTCGGCTTCACGCTGTTGTGGCTGTTAGCCAGTGCAACAATTTCCCTGGACATTGCGACTCCGTACATCTCTGCGCAGAACCAAATCGTTGACCAAATTTATGATCCTCCCCATTGTGGCCGCCGTGCCTCCCTCCTCATCTTCAGGGTTGGCGAAATCAATGGGTTGGCCGCTCTTCAGCAGCCCCCTGGCCAGCAAGACATTATTGATGTAAGTAGATGCTGCCTGCAGATTCTGTGGCTCCATGGCTTGCCTGCAAGCTCTGGTGGCAGCGACCTCTCTGAAGGGAGAGGAGTTGCCGATTGATGTCGAGGGGTGTTGGTTGCGATAATGCGTCGGGGACCGCCAGACTGTTATTATTATTTTTCGACAGCCGCGGGATTCCTAAACGGGAAGAACATAAACAGCAGGCGCACTCCGGTGACCGCCACGCCCCACTTCCGCTGTATGCTTATGTCATGCACCTGCCCACATCTGATCTGTAAAGGGAAGTAAATCACTTTTCTTATCGCACGCGTCGCTCGCGCGTCCTCTTGCCTCTTCTCAACTTCATCCTCCCAATTGGCATCATGGCGCGCGTAGTCCGTGGCGAGGGAGACTCTCTGCAACGGAGAGGACAGCTGCTCTTCAGGCAGGGCAACTATTCAGACGCTCTGGCCGCCTTTACAGAGGTGCGTTCGCGCGGTCCACCGCGTCCGATAAGGAAAAGGCTACTAAGGCAATTGGCCCACAGGCTCTCTCTTGTAAAGGCGCCGATGTGATGAGCATCCTGGACAACCGGGCCGCAACGTACATCAAGCTCACTCAGTATGATCGCGCTCTCAATGATTCGCGACAGATGATCCGCAGAGATACCAAAGATGGACGGGTAGCTTGCAGCCTGTGCGATGGTCGATTCTGTTCACTGTAGGCTAATTGAGCGTTAGGGCGTTTTGCGATATGGTCAGACCTTGCTTCTGACTGGGGATCGTGCAAAGGCCCTCAAAGCTTATGGCTATGGCTTGAAGACTCTGTCTGAAGATCATCCCCGTCGTAAGGTAAGCTGGTTTCAGCTGAATTTGCAGCAAGATGCGCTTTTGGACGCTGACCGGCTCAGATGATACTTCAAATGTATTGCAAGGTGAAAGAGAAGGCATCAGTGAAACGACTAGATCCCTTTGATACTCTACCTCTCGAGTTGGCCATGATGGTGCTGCAGTATTTCAATTTTAGGGAGCTGGCGTAAGTGAGCCTGTACAAAGAGGTCATATAAACAAGCTGACGAATATGCTCCTAGGGTTCTCCTGCGAGTTTCGAAGGGATGGCAGCGAGTGCTCTCACAACCAGATCTTTGGATGCAATTGGATTTCACCGAGGCCCGACGCAAGGTCCATTGGCGCTCCTTTCGGGCATTTGTCCAACGATCGCGTGCCTTGCTAACTCATGCTGTCATGATCAACATATCCACCCCTTTTCAAGAAAGAGTGCTAGAAGCCTTAAGTAGATGTCCAAAATTGGAACACTTGGAGATCAGGGACCCTATCACACAACCTAATGGGCTTTGCGACGTGTTCAGGAGCTCAACACAGTTGAAATCTCTGGTTATCGCGAAACAGACACCGGTGGCTCAAGAAAACATCGCGAAGTTTCTATCAAGCTTACCCCAACTCGAACGGTTAGAGATACATAACGCCCAGCCGTCGCCACAATCCAAAGTACATTGGCCTTCACATCTGCCGAATATGAAGAGTATCACCTTGCTCACGGAAGCGTCAATTCCGCCACCAGGTCGTGTTCCTGCTCTATACATTCCTCCTTCTACTGTAAGTTGGCTGGTCTTATGAGCTTTAGCTGGGTGCGTGCTGATTCTGGTGCTGACAGCTATTTCAGGAGTCAATGTCTTGCTCAATGCCCAACCTTGAAGAACTACGGCTTGACTCGTATCCCAAAGTCTGGGCGCCATACTATCTTTCATTTGACCCTGTTCAATACCCCAGGCTACGTAAACTAGATCTGAAAGGTGTATTCATAGGCACTTTCAGCTTACCACCGAGTCTCGAATACCTTTCCATTCATGCAGGTGCCGCTCCACCTGGGGAGGAATTCCCCTTTCCTCCCGAGCAACCCTTACACCTTCCAAATCTCCACACTCTTATGCTTCGCGACCTAATTTGGGTCACCTACCGCACGCTCCATCAGTTCATATTTGATTCCAAGGCTGTATTACGGAACCTTGTGGTTGACCGCTGTCCACAACTCGACTCTGAGAAGCTCAGTCTTGTTCTGGCGAAGAATTCGGTCAACTTGACTGAGCTCGGAGTTCCTCAGCTTCCAGGCATCAATGACTCTACCGTGAAGGCCTTGGTGGAAGGTTTGTCAAACCTCACTGCTCTAGATGTCTCCAACACCGATGTCACAGGCCGTCTGCTCAAAATGCTTGCTGACGCACATTCCTCGGATGTCGACTTTCCACGTGTTGAGTATGTATACATCAAAAATTGTGACAATGTCCCATACGAGGCAATAACCTACGCTCAGTCACATGGTGTCAGTGTCATTCGGTGATTAGAAGCATCAGTACAAACGCCCCTGAAGCATGCTGGCATGCATAGGTATGCGTTTTTTATTTGCATTCGGCGCCATATCGCATGTTGGGCTATAGTTCTACCATGTTTGCATACGTGGTATGGCTGTTCTGCCCCCCCCCCCCCCCCCCCCCCCCGCGAAGTCCATTCTGGTCTAGAATACCCGCCAATATTTCACAAACGATAAGTCTTGCTGCATAATTTATGCGACAGTGCTCTTCATCAAAATACGTTTTGCTGGGGCGTTCCTGATAACGCGGGTCGATTCACAACATGACCAGGTCATGATACACGAGGGACATTTTAACAAACCTCCGTTGCTCCCCATTATTCAGCACACTGCTGTGAGGGAGATGGCTGCAGGCACGCCACAGGTCTGCAAGGGAAACAGACAGTTCAATCTAAATATTACGTCTTTCCAGGGCTCTAATCAGTCCTGTCAGGTCTACATTTCGGGCAATATCATCAATTTCCCACTTAGGACTATTAGCGCCCAGAACTGAAAGAGTTCCAGATAATGTACACTGTATCCTTGGATATTTATTTCCGATCTACTTTAGTAATAACATTATGAATCCCCTCGCCTCGGGTAGGCGATTAATACGGTCTTTGGATAGCGATCGCCGTTGGAGACGGACTTCAAGTCCGCTCCTCTTAGCCTCGACAACATCATATATAACGTCTGCCACCTCCACAATTAGCGGGCGACATTGTTTCAAATATTCTTCCATCTATTACTCATCTATACTACCTATATTGTCACAAGAATCATCTTCGAGTCGTGCAATGGCCACCATCTCCGCAATCCGGGCCTCCAACTCCCGAATCACATCAGAGACTGTACCTCGCACGGCAGTCTTCACCGGAGCTACAGATGGCATTGGAAAGGCGACACTTACTCGCCTAATTTCTACGAATCTGCCAGTCCGGGTGTATGTCATTGGCAGGAACGGCAAAAAGCATCAATCGTTTCTTGATGAGCTTCGACAATCCAACAGACAGGCACAGATCACCTGGTTGGAAGGTCAATTGTCTCTTCTAGCAGATACCAAAAAGCTGTGCGATGAGATTAGGAGACGCGAGACGAGTCTTGACTGCTTGTACCTGAGCGCTGGCTTTATCTCCTCGGGAGAGCGCATTGGTACGCCTCTTCTGATCACCATTGACCATGGTTATCAGCTCACAAAACATGATTATCAGAAACATCCGAAGGGAAAAGCCTCTCACTAGCACTCACCTACTACAGCCGAATATTGCTGATGACTGAACTTCTCCCCTTACTCAATTCATCGCCCAATAGCCCACGCATCGTGAGTATCCTCAATGCTGGTTATGAATCATCTTCCATCTACCTCGACGACATCGATCTCGAGAAACCAGGTCACTTCGGTCTGGGCCCTCTCACAAAATCGATGTCCACCTACACTACATTGTCCATGTCAAGATTGGCTCAGGAAAACCCTCATGTGGTATTCATCCATCATTATCCTGGTGGAGTCAGTACAGATGCCTTTAAGAAGGCCTGGGGTGGAAAGTGGTATTGGCCACTGTTTAAAGCTGCGTTGTCTGCGTTCGGAACGTCTCCTGAAGATGCTGCGGAGAAGGTGTTGTATTTGATCACTAGTGCTAAATATGGTGGCAGAGGGGTTCCGCTTGGTGAGGGACAGAAGGCCGGTATGACTTTGACAAAGTCTGTTCAGGGTGGTGATCTGTTCGCTATTGACGATAAGATGAAGGAGCTGTTCCAGGGGAAGGTGATGTTGGAATTGCAGGCCATGAATGCAGGTGATATTGTTTGGCGCAGGACGGAGGAGACACTTGCGCCGTATTCTTCGTGATGGTGAGATGTCGGCTTATTGCAAATTAGTTGTATGAAATAACTAGTACTACATGGATCAAACGTTAAAGATTAGCAAGTCATCTGGATGAAGTATGGCACTCAATGTAAGCCGAACGGACTTCGGCCAGTCAAAGTCCGGCTTACCAGGACGAAGTCCGGTTCAGCCGACGGCCAAAGACCGTTTCCGTCTCAACCACTGCACACCTACACACATGATTTTAAATTCAATTAGTTCACTGCTATTATGGAGAGAAGAGGCCCAACTCCAGGCTCTGGCTCATATGGCAAGGCTTGCAGACAATGTTCCAAAGCCAAGTGTCGGTGCGTAGCTCGACCCGACGGTGCCGGCTGCGAAAGGTAAGCGTCCAAGTATGAGCATTGACTTGATTGATCTGATCGCCACTCAGATGCCTGCGTCTCAAGAAACAATGTCAGCCATCAGAATCAACTCGTAGGAAACCTCATCGGAATCCCGAGTCTGGCACACAGATAGCGAAGCTTGAGGGGAGGATTGATAGTCTCACGGCAATGCTTCAGTCTGTGGCGCATGCCACTGGAGTGTCCAGCAACCTGCAGACTAGTTCAAATTCTAGTACAAGCGAAGATATCAGCAACTTAGCTCTTTCTGGCAGTATTGCTGGCAGCGTATTTGTGCCACCACCATCGACCACCGCGCCATCACAGTCAACTACGACTCCGTCTCCTAGCAATGGCTCGAGCCAGCCATCTGTACCTCTGCCTCCTCTATATGAGTTGAACCTAGACCAGGCAGCCTGGTATCTCAATCGCTTTACGACGAACATGCTCCCAAGCTTTCCTTTTATCTGTCTGCCACCCAACATCACTACGCACCAGTTGCATCAAGATAGGCCATTTCTCCTCGAGGCCATCATTGCGGTAGCTACGCCCACAACCCAAGAGAAGCTGGCTCGCGCAGATAGATTGAAGTCTGGCTTAACCAAGTCAGCTATGCTAGAGAACCAGTCTAGCATTGACATGTTGCTAAGCATCCTGACTTACATTGCCTGGAGTACGGATCCGTTTGTTAAACGCGCGAGTAACCTGTCTCGCATGATCATGCTGGCTATGTCTATGATCTATGATCTCCAACTGGACAAGAAATCACTGCCGCCGCCAGAGGTGCCCATAATAGCGAAGATGGCACCCGGGCTGGGTAATCCGGAGCAAAGTGCGACTGACAATTCTCTACAACAGATCCTAGAGCAGCATCGAGCGGTCCTAGCTTGCTTTGTTCTAAGCTCGATGTACATTAATCCTCAACCTCTGTTTGAACTCAAGAGTGCCTATCCTGACATGACTTTTCCAGCATTTCATCCACCTTCAGACGCACAGTCCCCCTACCCTGGACCCCCCAGATGGAACAAGCCCTAAATCTAATCGACACAAACAAAGAACACCCATCCGACGAGTACTTCACGATCCAAATCCGCCTACAAATACTCGCCCAAAAAGCCCTATGCCTGCGTGATCCAGACGAGACAAGTCACTCTACCACCTCCACCACAACACCCCCAGCAATAACCATGTACCTCAAAATACTACACAACCAACTAACCGACCTCCAATCCTCAATCCGACCACATCTCCCCCACCGCGGTAAGCCACCAACCCAACCCATCCCTCCCTCCCTCCCAAATCCCTACTAACCACCAATCTTCTCCCATTACAGAGCTCCTCCACCTCCAAACACACTATACCTCCCTCCTCCTACACGAAACCCCCCGCCTCACTAGCTCCAGCACCCCTCTCCTTTCCTCCACCACAACCACAACAATACCCCCCTCCCCAATAACCACCCTCATCCACTCCCTCCAAGCAATCAAAGCCTGGCTCTCAACCTTCCAAGCCCTCCCCGCACCAATCATCACCGGGTTCCCCTTCTTCCTGTGGTTCCAGCTCGTCCGATGCATCGTGCTCCTGAAACATCTCTCCACGTTCGACGATCCGGCATGGGACCGCGACGCCGTGCGACAGGAGGTGGATATGCTGGAGTTGCTGGAGTGGATGGGGGAGAAGGCGGAGATGGCTAGTATTGAGGCTGGGGAGACGTCAGATGATGATTTGTTTCGAAGGGTGGGGAGGATGTTGAGATTGGCGAGGGAGTGGGTGGTTAGGAAGGTGAGGGGGGAGGCAGATGTGGGGATTTCTGGGGATGGGAGTACTGATGGGAATCGGGTGATGTCTGGAGATGAAGATGGGTCTGGGGGAAGTGGTGAAGGTAGTAGTAGTGGTGGTGGTGATGGTAGTGGTATGACGGGTATGGATCTGGATATGACGGATATGGCGTGGATGCATGCTCTGGAATCGGGGGATGGAGGTTGGCTTGAGGAGGTGCTGGGATGGTCGCCTTTGAATTTCTAGGTGCGGGTCTACTTTAGATTTTGACAGATACCGTGTGGTAGTCCCTGCATTTATCTTGACACGAAGACGACCTGTTGATTGCTCAACATCTACACTGACTCTATCATCTATAATTGACTATACATCCCACCACCCCTCCAAGTAAGTCTTCAGATCAATAGTATCATGGCGTTTCAGATGCGGCGTAAGATCTGCATCCGGCAGCGTCTCTCTCGTCGTCCATCCATTCCCCAGAAAAGCGAATCTATTCCCACTCGGATTGGTATACGAATAGTCCCAATCTTCCCATCTAGGATCTCGTCTCAAGTAATTCAACGCTGCCGCACTACCAGGGAACTGACCATGGACTTTGCCACCAGGCCGACCACCATTATACCATGAGCTACAGTTCTTCTGACCCGGGGTAGAGTCGTCATTAGCTGTCCAGACCGTGCGTGGGTAAAATTTGTCGCAATATTCGACAAAGTCATCGGTTGCTTGCTTGGATGGCTCCATGGCTTTGATACCTTGGCTGCGGATCTTTCGCAGGAGCTTGGCTATGTAGGTGACTTGATTCTCCAGAGCATTGGGCACGCTGCCTGAGGGGCCGGTGGAGTGGGGACCGCCAAGCCAAAGTAGATTGGGGAAGCCTGGGGTAGCTACTCCAAGGTAGTTGTAGGGGAAGCCGTAGAGACCGTCGTGTTTCCAGGCCTTTTTGAGATCGATCCCGTTGGAGACGATGGAGAAGGGTGGGGCGTGGTCGACGTTGGCCCCAGTGGAGCAGATAACGATGTCGACGGGCCTTTCGATGCCATCTGTGGTGACGATACCTGTTGAGGTGAATCGCTGAATTGGCGTTTGAATGTAGCTGACGTTGTCTTTG